CTGCAGGGTTTTGCACTTTGCCACAGACAAGTAGCACTAAGTTCACTTCAATCTATTTCCCTAATTTCTCTATAATGCACCGTGACCTTTCCCAGGATGGTGTTTCTTTGTAGCAAGATAAAGAGGAAGGAAAATAAGAGTTTGCCCTTTCCAACTAATTGACCAATGTTTTGTTTTAAAGGTAGTGTTACCTTTTTAATCCAGTTGTTAAAGACATAATTTCTTTATTCCTTTGTTCTGGTGACTTCTGCAGTACTCTGGCACATTCCATAACTGCAGTTCAAAGCTTATTGTGTAGAAATTACAAGTAAAGTTATATTCAGTCAGTTATGTAGACATTCTTCTTGCAAGTAATACCATTGGTAATATTTATTACAATATGGTGATAACAATTAAAATAATTGTTTATGGATTTCTTTTCTTAAGTGTGTTTTAACATTTTAATCTTTAAAGGATGTCCTACAGGAGGAGGAGTTTTGCAAGCCATATGTTAGCAAAGAGTGAAAAAATCTTTTATTTGTAAGTAATTCACTTTAAGAATAAAAGTTAAATAACATACTATGAATAAAAATGTAATAAGCTATAAGAAAACTTCGAGGTTCTTGGGTTTACATGAAGAAAACTTATTTTTGTAAAATGTTCTCAGGATGATGTGTGATCTGGATTGCACAAGTAGCTATAAAGTGAGACTCAGTGAGGAAATAAAGGCGCTTTGCATTCACTGGTTCCACACCCAAGCCATATGTTTTAACATGCATGGGGTTTGTTTTGCTATTTCAGGGCAGAGAAGCAGTAAAAGCAAATATTCACATATACACGCACAGCAGACTCCTAAATTCAGCTCTTTCTGAACATAAATTTGCTGTCTTCCAAGTAGGAATGGAAGGTTCCCTGTGATGTGGCAGAAGCTGCAGTGCATAAAGGCACCATCGTACACTGGATAGAGAGACATTCTCAATACGTCAGACTTCTCTGTGCTCAATTGGAAAAGCTATTAAGCAGTGACTGCAGGGCAGTGTTTTTACTTTTTCCATGTCTTGGCTTGTTTATGTTAAATCAGACCACAGGAGGTCTGTTGCGTTTCTCTGGCAGTTATTGCAAGGCTTGCTGTGGCAAATTCTATTTATGACACTTGCTGTATCCTAGGTGCAGTGAATCTTGGCAGACAATCTGGAAAATTTCCCATCTTTGTGCTTGCAGAATATAATATCTCAGTAATGGTGTGACTGTGGTGACTCACTGCGAAGGTCCTAGGTTCAACTACCACAGTAGCCAAAAAATCTAGACACATTTTAATTGCTGGCATGACATTTGAAGTATTTGCTTCACCACTGGACATAAAATATTAAATTGAAAATCCTCCTGTTTTGGCTAGAGTATATTCAAACTAGAGATAAAATCCAAGAGGAGCATTTCAGAGGTGTAGGGTAATGGCTGCTGTCCAGTATTTTTTTACCAATGTGATGATCATGTCTATTAAATGGAAATAATCTTACATATGTGTGTTTTGGTACTGCAGCTATTCCCACTGACGTGTGCACTGTCAAACATGCAATTATCCTACATAAATAACATATTGGTGATGACGGAGATCTAGGATTCTGTTATGGTTCTGCACAAGTCTAAACATGTTGTCAAAGATCATTTATCCCTACGCTAAATGCCATTGTTTATTCCATTGTAAAGTCTGTCGTCAAAACTGGTGACCAACTTTTCTTTAGGCAAAAGTATATCTTCCTTGTAAAATCAGAGACCGTTGCAACCTTTTGGGAACCTATTTCGTATTAACTTAGGGAATCATAGTTTATAAGAACACGTGGTTTATTTACAGAGTGTGTAAAGCAAAGTGACAGTGAATGGTTGAGCAATGCTGAATAACTTTCTTGTGGGGTTTTTAGAGTCTTCTGCTCCTTTTGTTTTTAAAACCTGCATTTCATGGTCAATCAGGGGGAAATTAATCTGTCTATTTATAAAACAAACCAAGTGAGGGCCTCAGGACCCTATAGACTGAGGATGATAATTACATGGATGGCCATCAAAGGACCAGTGCTCGTATGACTGCTGGGTGAATAATAAGACTTCTGTGGGGGTTTTGGTGTCTTGGCTTTATGCTGGGCTGCTGATGTGGTTTGATAAATGTGTAGAGCTGGAGGATCCATGGGATACTTGGCACAACCTCCACAGATCTCTGGGAGGTTGCCTGGAGCACCTGCCCATAAGGCATGGCCCTCAAGCTTGAGAGCTCCAGCTCTGGCAATGCCACAGACTTATTTGCCACCTTGCCATTAGTTTCCGTGTAGTGACAGAGCACACGAGTCCACTCAGTAGCTCTGTGAAAGCAGCATCAGCCTGGAAGCATGGCCTAACCTTTTCCTGGCATCTCTTTTTTCTGGTGCCATATCACATTTCCTAATTCTCATGCAGTTTCACATGTCTGTCATTGGCATGGCAGAGTTGACAGCTGCGACATGATGGCAAAGCGAATGCATCCTTGCCTCCTTGCAGTCCTCCCACTTGTGACTCACATCATTCTTCTAAAGGAGAGTATAAAGACTTTAAGGACAAAGAACTTCTTTCAGCACTTTGGGAGTCTTTTTCTTTCTTGTGATAAGAACCACCAGAATAATACATTTTGCAGTAGGGAAAGTACCTGCTTTATAAGACTGATACCTATGGGTTACCATAATTAATGTGTGAGTCTGGAAATGGTAAGAGAAGACAAAATAAGTGAAAGGGAGCTCAGTCTTGTACTTCCCAGCTGCTGATGCTGGTGACTTCAGTAACGGATGCCGATCATGCCAGAAATGCAAACAGCATGTGGACGGGTTTGTTTCCATTGTAAAGAGATAGCATACTTAATTAATTTCATGAGGCCTCTGGGCTGCTGTTGACAAAATGTGCTTACACCACAAAGTTAGGTTTCGGGTTAAGGATAGGGTTAGGGAAGGTTCGATGTGCTGATCCCTAGACTCAAATTACCTTTAACATTTTCTTTAATGATACAGATGCACTAGTTCTGCTTAATTACACTTTGCTGTCTCAAGCAGTCTTCCCCTTGATTCACTGAAAGTTTTACTACAATGCTTTAATCTGATTATGAAAATTAATGTACTTGTACTGTCTTTTAATTTGCACAAGTTAAGTCTCTTTTTTTCAAAATGTCAACCTGATTATATAGTAGAAGTTTATAGTAGAAAGTCATGACTTTCAAAGTCTAAAATCTTCCGGTATGGAGCGTTACAATGTAAAGGCAATATAGTAGTAGTTAGTTGTAGCAGTATGTTACTGACCTGATGGAAATCAGCACAAAATTTTTTTTCAAAATATTTAGCGGTTGAAATTATTTCCTAAATTTTACTTCTAATCTGGTTGACATTTTGAAAAAAGGAGATTTTTTTTTTTTCATGATCATTATATAGGTTTTCCTCCACCCAGGAACTTGGAAGGTGTACAGAAAAGCACACACGTTAAAAAAAAGGGTGGGGGGAAACCTGTACAATGATCACTAAATCCTGAAAACACACATTTTGTTTCCTAGCACCTGAGTTTTTGAACTCAGTTGAAGCAGAATGCATATGAAGTGTCATCCCTTTTTCTGTTAGGTTGGGGCAGCCCTGCTTTAAGGATACTGGGCTGTTTCCACAGTAGCCCTGGGCTTTTACCTCTGTTGCCTGTGCCCTGCAGAGGTGAAGGTGCCCCAGTTCCCCATGCAGAGGCATGACCAGTGTCAGGGTTTTCTCTCTTGCTTGGCTGCCCCAGGGATGGGGTCATAGGGGGCTGTGCCAAGCACACACTTCTGCTGACTTCGCTGGAGTTGAGCTCATGTCCTTCAGGGCTGAGCTGTCCCTGATACTGCACTGTGAGTTACTGACACCAGGGATATGATGAAAACCAGTAAAATTGTCACTGTGGCAGACAGTGGGATGTTTAGCAAAATACAGCCATATTTATTTCCAGAGACCACTTCTGCACTGCAGAATTTCCTAACAGGTTGCCTTAGAACCTCAGCTGGAGCATAACACGTGCTCCATGGGTTTTATCTTTCACTGCCTTTTTTATAGAGCTCCTGATATTACTTGTGTGTTGCAGAGACATGGGGCTGTAATGGGAGACAAGTTGAATGTGCTGAAGAAATAAACTAACAGAGTTAAACTGTATGCAATCTCTAAGGAATGAGAAGCCATTGACCATCTTAATTCTGAGAACAGGTATGATTTAGTACCAGCTAATTACGGATACAGCTGGCAGCCAGAAGGAATACGGCTGCATATGAAAATCATAGCTTTAAAAGACTAAGAAAATATGCCTGAATGTAGGTGTGAAATTACCGAGAATTTATCTGAACATAATTTAAAGAAATAATCCACAGACAGCATAGGACCTAAAATCACTTAAATTTGTACATGCTCTACACCATTTTTTCATTAGTGAAACTGTACTTTCCACCTCCTGGACCTGGCAAAGATTGGGGCTTAGAAAATCAGTAAAATAAAAATTCAGAGAATAACCAGAAGATATCAGGATGGTAATTCACCTTGCTAGGAAATTGAATTCTCCTAGGGGAAAAAAACAAAAACTGTATTTTGCATCTCTACACATCAAAATATTGCTGGATTAATTTTTTTTAACCTACTGGGTGAAAAAAATCACTATTTCTGAAAAGTGCCATTTGATACTTATGAAGATATTAAAAGCAATTTCTTAAGTAAAACAATAAAGTAAACATTCAAGATATTTTTTACAGAAATAATATTTTCATTTAAAGTCAAAATGATGGATTTCCTTACTACCCTCTTTCAGCTTTTCCTGCAAATTGTATGTAAATGAATGCAAATAAGCAGTCCTCACTACTAAGTTGCTTAGAAGTATAAAAATGCATGAAATTAAGATGTTCAGACAGAGCTGTGCATCTCATTTATGTAAAGAATGTTAAAACTTAAATATTTCAGCTAAAAGTGTTATTGTTTCAGGTCATAAAATGTTTTTTTTCTGCATTACAGAGAAAGTGCATAGAAATTTTTTACCTTCAGAAGACCTGGTAGTGTATGTGGGAGTTGGTCCTGTGTCAACCAACCTAACAAAAAAACAAACAAACAAACAAACAAAAAACTAGGAAATAACTAAAAGGTCAGTATTGCAATTTTGAACATTTTCCACCAAAGTGTGGACTAAGTTTGACCAGCTTTCATGACCTGATTTTGTCTGTCTGTTTAGTCAACACTTCTGCAGTGGATGAACCTGAAACCTAGTGGAAAAGAAAGCTTGAAAACCAGAGCCACAGAAAATTTTTTAGTTCAAATCTGTTTAAAACCTGGCTCTACAGCCAGCAGACTCCCCACTTGACTCTAATGGTGCTATGCATCATGAGAAAGGAAAATTCTCCTTGATTTTCAATAAGATACTAGGCTTGAGTAATGCCTGTGGTGCCGTAAGGGATTAACGATCTCTGTGCTATTTATAACCAGGCAAACTAAATTGCAATTTTTTTTAGAATTATTGGAGTTTTATTGTGCTACCCGTCCAAATTCAGCAAGTAGAGCTCATTAGTGTGTAAAACGAAGTTAATTTATACTGAGTATCCCCCATCTTTGGATAGGTGGCTCTATGTAAATCATCAGTTCTGGTCATTAATTTTGACTGTTTGCATTTCCTTTGCTGTGTGAGCATAAGTATGAAATATTAACTAAACTCCCCTGTCGAAAGTGCCCCCTCATGCCTCGTACTTGGTGTGAAAAACATTTGCTCTTCCTGCAGAGCTCCCATGTAATAGAAAGGTAAGAGCTGTATTATGCAGCTGAAACACCTAATGATAATTGGCATGTAAAACAAATTTCCGTAGCTCTAGAAACAGGAAACCAAGGTATCTCTAGAAAGCCATTCAACGAACACTTCCGAAATATTGGGGAAAGTGTAGTGAATCTTTCAATGGTTGATTCCATCATGATTGATCTTTGAGTTTTTTGAAGTAATTGATGGTATTTCTTTAGTTCAGTCCGTTAGTGCAAATAATTATTAATCAATATGCACTCAGCTCTTACTTTAGAAGATAATTTTAACACATGATTTATTCTGAACATTTCAATTGAACTACCTTTACAAGGAGAAAATCAATTGGCTAGTGGTCTAAAGCACTTTAATTATCTGGTGAGCTATATTCTGTATTAGGCTTATTTGAGTTAGGGGATTTTTTATACATTGCCCCACAGTGATAAAACCCTTCTGCTGGGCTCTACTTTGCTATCCTCAGAAATACACTAATTTTCTGTTTCCGGTTATTTTGTCTTAAAAATTTTCAGTTCAATACTGCAAACATGATAGGATTAAACCCTAACTTGGGAAATTAAATAATATGCAAAATGGAATAAAAATAGAGCTTTTTCCACATGAGAAAACAGTTGGTTGGGTTGTTTTTTTGTGAATGTGTCAGCACATTTGTAATTTCTTTGGATGTTTTCTCATTCATGGTAAGCACAGCAGTGGAAAATTACAGTTAATTTGAAATGATAACGTGATGCCAGAACTTAGGCAGAGGTTTGAAATATTATAGGACAAAAGGTGAAATCATTAATTCACTTGCAGTGAATATTAAATTCCTGAAATATGCATTACTCTCTCATTATGTTTATATTTACGTGTTTTAATATGCCTGTAAATATTATTGTGAGTCTGAAGCAGCATTTGTGCCGTGTCCATGAGCATGTCAATACAGCCTTTCAAAGTAATTTGCACTTGGACTGAGGCAAAAGGTTATGGAGCCATCTGTCATCATGAAAAATCATTAGAATAAAGAGTGTGGTACAATTTCACTCATGTTCAGGATATGTTGTGTTTCAACTGCACCAGTACAAACACTTCTCTCAGATGCCCTTCGTAGGTCTAACAGGAAAACTTGAAAAGAGTCTTGTGCCCAAATAGATCAAACACCAGTGAATTCACACCAAACAAGACTTTAGCCTGCAGACAGTCTTGTGGCAGCTCTCTTGGATCTGGGTTGGGCTGCCCTGGGAACTCAAGGATGAGAGTTTCTGCGTCTAATAATAAAAGGAGTTGATGTTCTTGAAATGACCTGAAGTTACTGATTGGCTATATATCCATTCTTTATTGCATTTCTTGTATTTCTCTCAAATTGGACAATCATAAACATCCAGTTTTCTATTTAATGAGATTATAGTAATTGTTTCTGAGTTCTCATGGCTTTCCATAATACTGAAATAGATGAATCACTTTTTCCTTTGGAATAGTGCAGGAAATATTTATTATGGTTTTGTACTGAAAAAGCTATATATCCTCAAAGTAGGAAAGTTTAGATCTTAGGGCTGTATTTTGGTGGAAACATTCCTTAAGAAGATTCTTTGGAGGGTGTACTTGTAAGATTTTTAAAGAGTCAAATAATAAAAAGACAGCACTACAGTCTGAGGACCCAATTACAGAAACACTTGTACATATGTTTACTTTTAAGTCATTAAGTACTGTGCATATGGAAAACATCATGTCCTCCATTTCTGAGCCTTGATCTTCAAATGTAAGTGTTGTAGAAACAGGGCTTTTGAACCTTATCCTGTTAGGTGCCGAGTGCCTTATTTGCTGTCTGAGCTGGTGGGAGATCTGCCTGCTTGATAGCTTGTAGCTCTGTTATCCAGAAAATCAGAAAGGAAGGAGTGGGTTTGCTTCAGTGTGTAAAAATATATTTCACTTGAAGTTAATTCCTACAGCTGACTACACAACTGCCTTTGAGTGACCTCCCAGAGGATGTCTTAGAAGGACTGTTATGGTGGTGTGTGTTTTCCTGCTAAGAGGCTGTGACTGATGATCACACTTTAAATTATGTTTTGGATGAGGCAGATAGAAGCAATAACAATGTGAATATTAGAATAAATCTTCACTCATTTCAAGTGGGTAATTAAAGTTGTCAGTGGCTTGATTTGGGATCAAGATTTCTATAGGAGCAAGGGAAGGGTCAGTCTTTTGATATATTTGCTGCTCTTGGTGTCTGAGAGTTTGTCTGCAATCTCCCCTTCTACAGAAATAGCAGCTCTTTTGTTTTCCTTCGATGCTTGTTTATCCTATGATGCTTGTAATCTGAACTTTTGCGTTAGTATATCTGGCTAAAGTTATTAATGAGAATCCTGACCTGGTTCAAATCAACTGGATTTTTTTTCCTTTCAGTTCAGTTAATGACCTTTCTATTTTTTACTCAAAAGCCTTTTTGAAGAGCAGCTTTTAAAAACCTGGGATTGGAAGTAGTTCTATATCCTCTGCCTTATGAGAAAACGGATGAAGAAGATATGTTCATGTAGCAAATCAATAGTTTTTTAACTTGGCTATTTTAACTATATTTTTTTTGGAAGTGATTATCTCCAGCACCACATAGTCTGTTTAATGGGTATAGTAAAGGTGATCTCTTTTAGGTTATTTAGTTCAATTTCCGACAGAAGTGAACTATTCAGGAAGTGTATTTAGAAGAGTCTATTTTTAAAGAGTTCTAAGGCTAGAACAAAGGACAGAAGATCATCATGATATGCTGGTAGGGCTGCCACACACAGAAGTACAATAGCAAGCACCTCTGACTGTGGAGGAACTGTCGAAGCACTGTAAAATGTAGTTGCTGTGTGTAAAAGATCAAGCAGGTTAACTCCTGGGATTTTTTTTCTATCAAGATACTTTCTTCCTTCCATTCTGTTGCCTGCTGTCTTCAGAGCACAGTGGTATTGAGACTCTGCAGATTTAAAACATCTGTCTTTCCTTCTCCAGTGTACTACAGAAGGATAGCTCTCAATTTAGTAATAAAAAATTTAGCTGCATGTTAGGCTGCCTTTGTTTTTAGGAATTTTTATCCTCCTTGAGGCTACAGGCTAGGTAGGTATCCCAGTATTTTCTATAATGTGAGCCTATTTTTCATTTTTTAAAAAGAATATTTGTAGCCATTGTTACAGAATCCAGATGTATTTAATTGAGTCAGGATTAGGGGCCTAAATTATTTAGTATTGTGAAATTTAGTGTTTTCTTATGTGTCTGAATTCTGTTCTTGAGATGTGTGAAAACAACAGCAGGGTTGGTGTTGTTGTAAGGAAAGAGCTTGTAGTGTTATACTAAAATTAATTTGGAAATAGATTAATTTTATTAATTTTAAATAATTGATAATGAACTTATATAAAACACTGGAATTTTCATATTGCAATCAATTTGAATAATTTGGTTCATTCGGTACAAATAAATATGAACTAAAAATGCACATACACAACATCATATGCAGAAGAAGGCTTTAAAATCAGGTCTTGAGAATAAATGATAAAGCTTTTGTTTTCAGGTTATACAAGGCAAATATAATTATAATGTCTTTATTGGTACTCACCACAGGCTTAAGTTTTCAGGTTTGAACTCACATAAAACTGTCTTATTTTATGAGCTATTTCATGTTAGTGTTGGATAACTGACTAGAAGATAAATCTGTACTTATTACAAATCTGTCTGAGTTGATGATGTTGGATATAATTTCTATAGAAAGTTTATTTTTTTTTGTGAGCAAAAGAGCAGTTTTATAGACAGCTTTAGTTGTAGGCATGATTATTATTCTTTATTTTTGCATAAATTCTCAGGAATATTTTTGCCTTTTGCACCTTATTTAGTATTTCAGGATTTTGTTCTTATTTTCATTTTATGCTTACTCCCAGTGTATTGTTGTGCTAAAGTTTGGAGGTTTTTGTTGTCTTTTTGTTTTTCTGCCATTTTCGTAACGGTAGAATCAGAGAACAGTTTGTGTTGGGAGGGGCCTTTAAAGGTTATCCAGCACACAGCCCCCAACAGTGAGCAGTGACTTCTTCAACTCGATCTGGTTGCTCAGAGCCTTCTCTTCCCCAGGCTGAATGACCCCACCTCTCTCAGCTTGTCTTCACAGGAGATGCGCTTCAGCCTTCTGGTCACCTTTGTGGCCCTCCTTTGGATTTGCTCCGATGGGTCCATGCTCTTGTGTTGAATGTCCCAGAGCTGGGTGCAGTACTGCTGGTGGGGATCTCATGAGAGTGGACTAGAGGGGGAAAATCACCTGTTGAGAACTCTGTTGAGGGCTAATTAATACTCTCTGCTGAGAACGAATTCTGATGTATCCAGTAAAAGCAAGTTTC